TGTTTCTTTCATGGTGAGGCTTGACTTACTTGATAGACTGTTTAAGATATGAAAAGTTGAGAACCACATCTTTACTAGAATGTATGAACCTGGCCACTGTGTGAATGATAGCAGGATATTGTAACTATGGGTTTTTCAAATCTTCATTATTTTAATGTTGACACAAATTTGATGGCACTTTGTCAGGCTTAGCTGACAACAGACAAAGCTAAGGAATGTTGAACTAGTTTACTACTAAAATTAGGGTTTCCCAAAGAGTGCTAGGGCAACTGGGAAATTGAACAAATAACTCAGAACAAAGTGACATTTTTTTCCTGATGCCATGAAACACTGCTATAAATAAACTTGATTTGCCATACAGTATCACATTTTATTGTGTTTTTTCCTCTAGGTCTCTACTGTTAAAGTATATATGCAAAGTAAACAATAAAAAATTAAGCATCTGATTAAATCTGCTGTACAGTAGTCTACTGCATAAGTCATTCTGGTTCTTTCTAGAGATGTGGAAGCTCCAATACTGTATCCGCCCCCCACAGCTTCAAATTGTCAAATTTGAAAAATACTGCTAAATGAATGACAAAACCAGTATGATCAGAGAAGTACTGTCTTCTTGCAAATAGTATATATGAAGAAGTGCTTGAAAATAGATCATTTTGTGCAGATTTTCCTCTTTTTAAAAATTGCTTCTCAGTTTGAGTCCTGAACCTTTAGCCTCTAAGGATTACAACTGTGTAAAAGATGGCTGGGTTCTTTGATGTGATTGTTGGGGGAGAGGGGAGAGTGAGGAAGTACAATAGCTTGCATTATTACCTGTGATTAAGATGATAATAGAACTGAGCTATAAGAGGTCTCTGCATCTCAATTAATATAGCCAGTGAGGTTCAACATATTTATTGCAAAAGCTACAGCAAGAACATCTCATTATAGGCACTCTGATAATCTATTTTCCGTTTTCCGCAGTATGGGAGGAAGCAATTATTTTATCAGCGCATCACCTTTTGTTGGCAGGTAGCACAGCCCGATCGGAAGCGCTCAGAAAACATACAATACACTAACCCACGATCTGGATAACTGCAGTTTTTATCACTCTTGTTGGAGGCATAAATGCTAAACAATGGTTTATTTAGACACAAGAATAAAATTTGTTGTGCTTCAGCGCGTTGTGTGAATGAAAGCGGGTGGGTTTACTGTGCACCAGCCATGGTAGTTTATTCAATAAACCATGACTAGTTGAACCCTGAGTTATAATTCCTTGAGTAGGTGGGCGATTATATATGTTTGTTAGACAAGTAGTAAGTAAACGTTGCACAACTGACTAGAAAAACGACGCCAGAAGGCGGTGAAGATAATCTATGAACCCACATCGCCTCAGCCACCTTCCACCAATCGGTTTGCAAGAATACTGTATGATGTCAGAGCCTACGTTCCGATTATTTGCGCGGGTAAAGCAAAAAAAAACAAACCTATTAAGAGCTCTGTCTTTATCATAGCAGGCGCTGATTGGCTGGCTTAACTGTCTGTTGCCATACCGGCCGATGGTGCTACTGGATTTATTGGGTGGGTTTAGGGAACGGACGAGAAGCGTTTGGTGCAGAAGTTTTGCGTGATACGGTGGGTAAGGTTTGAGAAAATTTTTGTTATCTGAAAAACTGACCTGCGTGTAAGATTTCCTGGTTGATTTATAGATTTTGTAGTGTTTCTCTTATGGTCAAGGATTATATGGGATAGATGTTGTGTTTAGGGGCACAAATCTTTTATATACTGTATTTGCAGAGTGCCTCATTACAGCACGTGGTATAAGGGTTTTTTTTGCTGCTAAGACCATCCTCCTGATTTGCTTTTGAGTCCAAAATTCAGGGCTCTCCTCCGTATTTGGAATGATGGGTGCAGTTTGAGTTTCTAAATCTCAGAACGGAGAAAGCGAAGGCAAAAAAAGTCGTGGAAAAAGACTTTCTTTCCTTGTCTCAAATTGAAACCGAAGGATAATTCGGGGGTGGGGGAGTGGTATCATCTGATAAAGGATAAGTAACAAAAATAATTATTTAGTAAGCTATTAAGTTTCTAACAGCGACTGAGTAATGTTGCTGTACATGTCTATTAATAAGCAGATTGCTCTCAATTCTAAAAAAAAAAGTTATGAAGACTCATAAAATGTCCACTTTGGATACATGGACGGCACTGAATATTGGGAGGTATTGCTTTGAAGTTCTTTAGAAGGTGGAAAGTAGGTAACCCTCTGAGCTGAACTGTGGCATTGTAGGATGGTAGACTTGTGAAGACACTGCTTGGAGACAATTTTTTGCTTCCTGAAGGAACATGCTCCTTCTGGGATCTTTGAAATTAACTCATCTATTGGAATGATTTCTGTGAAAGGAGCAGCTGTATTGTGTAATGGAAATGTATTTAAAACCAGTGGCAGGCAAGTTTTTGTTGCATAGAGACAATTTAAAAGCTTAAGACTATCCTATGACTGCATGATATATATATGTATATTATATATCTATATATACTGTATGTATATATGTATATTATATTTGTATATTATATATTTATATATGTATATATGTATATGTATATATGTATATTAGAATTTCTTTTTTTGTTGACAAAAAGTTAAAGAGTTAAATGGGAGACTAGGATGGCCGTTTCAAGCTCATTTTGCTCTCATCAGCTAACTATACCCTTTACGGCAAGGCTTTTCAACCAGTGGTATGGGTACCACCTGTGGTACATTGGCACATGGCAGGTGGTACGCGACCATCCTAGCGGGTAGCGGGGGAGGGGAATGAGCTGAACCAGTGGCAGCACCGCACAAGCCTGAGCAAGAGACGGCTGGAGCTGCAGGGCTGTCATGGCTCAGCGGAAACGCCAGGATCAGTGCTTCTTCAGGACTGTCAAAGTTCAGTGGAAGCGCCAGGATCAGCGCCAGGCTCTAGCTGGAGCTCAGCACTGATCCTGGTGCTTCTGCTGAGCCCAGAAGAAGCACCAATCAGCTGGAATGTTGCAGCATCTCCAGGGTCTTGTGATTTACATTCAGATGCTTGACAACTGATTCATATTTATGACGGTCACAGTGTCCCAGGGTCATGTGAAGTGACCAAAACCTGCTGCAACCACCCAGCAGACGGGGGGGGGGGGATAAAAACCAAACACCTCCCCCACCCGACCCCCGCTGCCAATCCTCAACAGAAATGCTCACAGCAATGAAAACCTCGGACAGGAGGAAAAGCACCACTGGGGGGGGGCAGGCAGGTGTCTTGCTCTGCTGTGGCTTGGGGGGGCACTATTTTCAGTGCCATTGTAACTTCGAACAATCACTAAGTGAAGTGTTGTAAGTTGAGGACTACTTGTACTTCATCACTTTTTTCCTTTTTTGGGGTGGGGTGGTCATCAAGTTTTTGACACCTTGCTAGGTGACTGGTGGTACTCGGATATTGCCATATCCTAAAAGTGGTACAATGGGTGAAAAGGTTGAAAAGCCCTGCTTTACGGGATTCGAACCTGGGCAGCCTACATACTAGGCAGTTGTATTAACCTCCAGGCCACCAGCTCTCCTCCCCTCTTTTGTATGTGTATTTGTATGTTCAGATTTTAGGATATGTTCTGTTTCTATTTTGTCAGCTGTCAAACTGAAAGAATCTGATCATACTTTGTGCTTAACTAGTTCTCTGTATTTAATGCAGGTGGGTCATTTTCTACCAGAAGAAGCCCTTGCCTTTTTTACTGGCTCAACTCACACTTTCTCAACCCACTATGGTTCTGGAAGCAAAACCCAATGTTGTCCACCACCCATACTGGCCTCGGAATTTGGAACTCCAAAATTACATCCCAAATGACCGACCCACATGGCAGCTCTTGACATTCATATTTTCTACTTCAGGAATTCTCTTGCTATTGACTTGGTTTGTAGCAGGTTGGCGAAGCAAGACATGGGGCCCTTTTGGAACTTGGCGCACCTTGATCATTTGCTGGTTTACCATCTGTGCTTTTATTCATGGTGTCATCGAAGGCTGGTTTAGCCTTTACCATATGGAAATCCCAGGGGATCAATCCTTTCTCTCGCA